TCTGAAAGCAGGCAGCAAGCTGATTCTGGGACTAACCAAAGAGCCTGGTTATCAGGGCCAATTGTATCTCCCTAAATAAAGATACTGCTATTGGCCCTGGCTGGTGTCGCTCAGTTGAGTGTCATCCCACTGAGAGGTTGCCAGTTCGATTTCGGGTCAGGGCACATGTCCAGGTTACGGGCTCAATCCCCAGTAAGGAGCCTGCAGGAGGCAGCTGATCAATGTTTCTCCCTCTTCCTTCCTCTCTAGAATCAATAAAAAGGTATTTTTTTAAAAAAGATAATGCTGCCCTAGCTGGTTTGGCTCAGTGAATAGAGCGTTGGCCTGTGGACTGAAAGGTCCCGGTTTGATTCCAGTCAAGGGCACATGCCCGGGTTGCGGGCTCTATCCCCAATGTGGAGTGTGAAGGAGGCAGCCAATCAATGATTCTCTCTCATCACTGATGTTTCTATCTCTCTCCCTCTTCCTTCCTCTCTGAAATCAATAAAAATACGTTTAAAAAAAAAAAGATAATGCTTTTGCAGGCATGGTGTTGAACAGCAAGAGCAAGCAAACAAGAAGACATAAATCCTGCCTCCCACTCTTCCTCTAATACCCCCTCCTCACAAAATATATAAAGCCAGCAGAGAATGGAGAAATGATGGATTCGGGGCTGACAGAAATAACAGATTCAGGTGGTATATAGCATGAAAGATCCAATATGTGTCTCATGTAAGTTCTAAAATGAAAGAATCAAGGAAATGAGGCAGAGAAATTAATCAGATATAATGGTTGAGGTTTTTCTTGATTACATGAAAAACAAATCCTCAGATTTAGAAAGCAAGTAAACTGGATATAAATAACTGAATTATAGGACATATGGCCACAGAGAGATTTAGGAAAGACATTCCTAGAGTATGTACTATAACAGTGATCGCAGACTTTACAGAAGCAACAATAGGATTCAGAAGAAAATGGAATTGGATGCTGTATTAAGTTTCCTAGGGCTAGAATAACAAATGATCATAACTAGGTGATTTTTAACAGCAGAAATTTATGTACTCTGAGTTCTGGAGATTAGAAACCTGAAATCTAGGTGTTGTTATAAAGTCAGGAAAAAAGCAAAGATTTCCTCTATCATTGCTTCTGTTTCACATTGTATTGTTTTATAAGGGTTAGAGGAACACATGACGCCACAACAAGGATACCACCAGCTAAATCCATAATGTGGGAAATTCTACAAGGACAAAATGACCAAGTTTCTCGAACAAATAAATTGGAGTGGACACTTAGAAATGCAGCTAGATTTAAGAGACATATCAACCACATGCAGTATAAGGACCTTTGGGATTTGATTCAAACAAACCAACTTCTTAAAAAATTATTGAACATGTGGGAAATTTTGACCCTTGCTCAATATTTGGTAATAAATAAATCATATTATAGTCTTAAAATTCATACAGAAGAGCAGAGGGCCAAGGATAGCTGAGATAATTTCCAAAAACAATATGGTAGGAACACTCATTCTACCAAATAGCAAAAGTGACAGTGAGTGATATCATGGTATTGTATAGAGATGGATGATAAGAGCAGTGAAATAGAATGCCCAAGATAGGCCTTGAGGGAACATGTGAAATCTTTGATAAATGGCACCAGTACAGTTGCTTATTGGTAGGGGACAGGTGGGGAGATGATATATCTCATTTATACAAGAATAAGTTCAAGATAGACTAAAGGCTAAAACGTTTTTGAAGAAAACGTAGGCAAATATTTTCAAGATGTTGAGATTAAAAAGACTTTTTAAGTACAAAGAGTTCAACTATAGGGGGATAGAGATTGATATATTAATTGTATAAAACTTACATATGGCAGAAATACCATAAGCAAAGTGAAAAGACAAACCATGGAGTAGAAAAAGATAACTTTCATACATAATCAAAAAGATTATTTAAAGCACTTACACAGATCAGTAAGAATTCCAAAATCCACCCTAACCAGTTTGGCTCAGTGGATAGAACATCAGCATGTGAACTGAAGGATCCAGAGTTTAATTCTGGTCAAGGGCATGTGCCCGGGTTGTGGGCTTGATCCCCAGTGAGGGGCTTGCAAGAGGCAGCCGATCAGTGATTCTCTCTCATCATTGATGTTTCTATCTCTCTCCCTCTCCCTTCCTCTCTGAAATCAATAAAAATATGTTTTTAAAAAATTCCAAAATCCACAGGGAAAAAAGGTCAAAGTATGCAAGCAGGAAATTCACAGGAGAGGGTTGCTTAGTGGCCAATAAACTGAAAATTTGTTCATTATCATTTGAATCAGAAAAATGAAAATGAGCCCTAGCCAGTTTGGAAAAAAGCAAAGATTTGGTGTGAACATCAGTTGATAGAATGACAGCCTACAGACTGTAGGGTCCCAGGTTCGATTCTGGTCAAGGGCATGGATCTTGGTTACAGGCTCAATCCCAGTGCAAGAGCTGGCCAATCGACATCTCTCTCACTTCGCTATTTTTCTCTCTGTCTCTCCCCATCTCTTCTACTTTCTAAAAATCAATGGAAAAATATCCTCAGTGAGGATTCACCAAAAAAAAAATGAAACCATCAAAATTCCATGTCATACTTGTTAGTTTGGCAAAATGCTAACTTTTATCATACCAACTGAGGGTGAGGTAACTAAAATCACTATTGAAAAAATAGCTATAACCCTTAATAGCTATAGCACTTTGACAATGCCTAATAAAGTTAACCTCTATACAGTGGGGCCTTGACTTAGGAATTTAATTCGTTCCGTGATGGAGCTCGTAACTCAAATTACTCGTATGTCAAATCTTAAAGTGAACGAGTGAGACACGTGATGCTGGGCTGATGTTGTGGCGTTCACTGTGATGTTCACTGCGCCAACTAGTGGTGGGGTATCGGAAGCTGGCTCGTAACCCGAATTTTAGCTCGCAACTCAAAGCAAAAAATCGGCCGAGAGACAGCTCGTGTCTCAAAAAACTCGTTAGTCGGGACACTTGTAAGTCAAGGCCCCACTTTACTTCTCTGTCTGGCAATTGCACTTCTGGATTTGTATCATAGAGGGCTTTCATGCATATGCATAAGAGGGCTTTTTAAAAGAATGGTCATCATTATAACCTATAATAATAATAGCGTAATATGCTAATTAGACCGAATGTCTTTCCAGACAAAGCTAAGGGGGCCAAGGCAGAAGCAGCTGCCACAGCGGCAGAGGCCATGGCAATGGGGGCCAAGCCCCTTGCACGAATTTCAAGCATTGGGCCTCTAGTCCTATATAATAAAAGCCTAATATGCTAAGTGTCCAGTTATCCATTCAACCAATCAAAGCATAATATGCTAATGATATGCTAAGGCTGCTCAACCGCTCACGATGACGTGCACTGACCAATAGGGGGAAGACGCTCAGACCAGTAGGTTAGCTTGCTGCTGGGGTCGGGCCTATCGGGACTGAGCAAGACAGGCCAGACATACCCTTGAGCCCTCCCACGGTCCCTCCCCGGCTGGCCAACCTCCCATGTCCCTCCCCTGCCCTGATCATGCACCTACAGGGTCCTTCGGGCTGGCCTGCGCCCTCTTGCAGTCCGGGCTGAGGGGGACACACACACACACACACACACACACACCCGAGTGCACAAATTTCATGCACTGGGCCTCTACTATTGTTATAAATTGCAAAAAAAAAAAATTGCAGTCAACTAGAAAAGGATTATTAAGTTGAGAAATACTTTATTAAAGTTAAGGTGGAAATGTTAAGCTTTGACAGTTTGGTAGATGCATGGGTAATTCATTAATGTAGTTATATTTTTCTTTAAGCTTGAAGCCATTTCTCTTTTTAAAAACAAACCAAAACAATTTTTAAAGTTGACAGCAAAATGCCATTGATTAATTAAAGCAAATACTCTAAGTTTATAAATAAAAGTAATGTAGGAACAGAAACACAAGTCATACGGAACTTAATAAGGAAAACACTGTTTGCAGAATCATGTCACACTGATAGCAATGGAAGACATGGAGCCTATCCCTTAGGGAAGAAAACAAGATCTATCCTGGCTTCTCCCTTCCGTTTTTGTGTCTGAAATTGTTCTTCATCCCTTTGCTTTTCTCTTTCTCGTGACCTTCCGATTCCCTACTGGCATCGAGTGCCCCATGGACTTGGCTATGAGCCCAAAAAAAAAAAAAAATCATACCTGCCTTCCAGTTCTATGCCATTTCTAGCTGGCATTTTTTCCATGTTCCCAGCCAGACTTGGTAGAGGTCAGCTGCCAGTGTGGGGATTGGTTGAAGAGCAAAGACAATGGATGTGCATGGATGCCTTTGTAAACCTTGAGAACTTGTAGATGCATATAAAATCCTGTATGTGTTTGATTTGAGGGTCTGGCCCTGAAAATATATGTTATTTTTTTGTTTTTTAATATGTTTTTATAGATTTTTAAAAAGAGAAAGGGACAGGGGAGAGAAACATCAATGAGAGAGAACCATCAATTGGCTGCCTCATATACACCTCCTACTGGGCATGTGCCCTGACTAGGAATTGAACTGGCAACCTCTCAGTGCATGGGACAGCGCTCAACCAACTGAGCCACACCAAGCCAGCACTGTATGTTGCTTTTTAGAGAGAAAAAGAAAAGACCTCTGGTAGTGACAAGGATAATCCCTCATTTGGTCTTCTATTTTTTTTCTTTTTCTTCTAATTTCATTATTCTTCAGCCTTGCTCTTTTCCCTTTCCACATTCAAGTGCTTGCCTTACCACCCTCATCACTCAACTTGAACTCAGTATGACTAAGATGAAACAGTCTCACTTGTTTTTATTATTCATAAAGTATTCCATGTATAGAATCATCCTAATTACCAAAAAGAAACTGGCAAAGGAAGCACAGGTGACTTCATGATACTACTTTGTGATCTTTATTTCTTCCTTCTCTCACAATGATAAGGATAGTTAGTCAACATCTTAAGTAGAGAGTACTTACTTAACTCACTTGTACCATGATGCTTTGTGTCCATTGTAGACCGAGCTAAGAGGAGAAAGCTCAGGGAAGAAAGGGCATGGCTGCTGGCTCAAGGCAAGGAGCTCCCCCCAGAGCTTTCCCACCTGGACCCTAATTCCCCCATGAGGGAAGAAAAAAAGACTAAAGACCTGTGAGTATTTAATGGTACTAACAGTAGCAACCTGTAACATTTATTAAGCACTTGGGCATTGTGCTAAGTACTCTCTTATTTAATCCTTAAAACAAGACTCTGTGTTAGGTAATATTCCATCTTCATGAGCTTCTCATTCTATTTTATGCTTTTTGGGTTATTCTTTATATCATAAATATTGATTAGAGGAAAATAAGACCTGGGAAATAATGTGCTATTAAATAACTAACATAATGATAATAAAGTTTTGTGTCATCTATGCTAACCCTCATCTTCATAATTATTTTCTGGAGTGTTACCACTGTTACAAACTTATCATTAATAAAAATTATTGGATCTATTCCAAAACTTGGTGCAACCAACTATGTCTGTGTTTGAATTAAGAGAGTTAAAGAGAGATCAAAGTTACTATTAATTTTTTATTTATGATTTACAGCTTTGAGTTGGATGATGATTTCACTGCTATGTATAAAGGTCAGTTCCATTCTTAACTATTGTGTTTTTTATAAAAGTACTCCTATGTGAGTATATTAAGCTCTCTTCTTTGGCTCTCAGTTCTAGATGTGGTAAAGGCTCACAAGGATTCCTGGCCCTTTTTAGAACCTGTGGATGAATCTTATGCCCCAAACTATTATCAGATTATTAAGGTAGCTAAACCTACTATACAGTTACACCTATCGTGATGTTTGTTTTGCTCTTGCTCTTTGTTGTTGTGTTTTGCTTGAGTTTATTTATTGTTCCTTGAGGGTCCGGGTTGCTGATTGTATACCAGGCTGTTGAGCAACTCAGAACAGCATGATTCCTTTGCCTTATATGGGTTATGAGATGTTTCCTCCAGCATATTGTAATTAAATGTGTCCTGTTTTAGGTACCAATGGATATTTCAAGCATGGAGAAGAAACTAAATGGAGGTTTATACTGTACCAAGGAGGAATTTGTAAATGACATGAAGACAATGTTCAGGAATTGTCGAAAATATAATGGGGAAAGTAGTGGTAAGTGGGGCAGGGGTTTGCTCTGGATGCACATTAGCTGAACTATTGTAACCAAGAATAAAATGCCTTTTAGAAATATAAATCTGGCCCTACCTGGTTTGGCTCAGTGGATAGAGTGTCAGCCTGCAGACTGAAGGGTCCCAGGTTCAATTCCAGTCAAGGGCACATTCCTGGGTTGCAGGCTCAATCCCCAGCAGCGGGTGTGCGGGAGTCAACCGATCAATGATTTTCTCTCATCATTGATATTTCTCTCTCTCCTTTCCTCTCTGAAATCAATAAAAATATATTTTAGAAAAAGAGAGAGAATAAACCTCATCTACACACACACACACACACACACACACACACACACACTGATGATTTAGACCTTTCCTTAGGACTATTAAAAGAATGTGTATTAAAAGCCTTGGGATTGGCCATTCTAACCACTTAAACAATATGTGGCAGGAATTCTCTCCTATCTCACACAATAGGAGAGTGTAACTGGTGGCAACTAGGCTCAGGTTATTTCTCATTCTTCTACAGGCCAGTTTAGGTCCAGTTTGTACTGTGCCTCCTTAACACAGTGTACCACTGATGATAACTCTACCTAGATAGAGCTGATTCTTTTTTAAAAAAAAATTTTTTTAAATATATTTTATTGATTTTCTACAGAGAAGAAGGGAGAGGGATAGTTAGAAACATCGATGAGAGAGAAACATCGATCAGCTGCCTCCTGCACACCCCCCACTGGGGATGTGCCCGCAACCAAGGTACATGCCCTCAACCGGAATCGAACCCGGGACCCTCTAGTCCGCAGGCCAACGCTCTATCCACTGAGCCAAACCGGTCAGGGCAAGAGCTGATTCTTAAATCATCTTGAGAAGCATACTTGATTAGCTGTCTATGGGTATATATGAGTTAGGTATTATGGGAACTTGGAGTAATTTGTGCAGTGGCTCAGAGTGCCTTAGTTTAAAACCTAAACAGATTCAGTGATTACATTTAATATTTTTACTGGCTTAGTGTAATGGTTCTAGAGTCACTGTCAGCCATGCAGCCTAGAGCCTCATAGGACAGAAACTCAGTTTGCCCCAATAGCATCTTTTGTTTATCGTAGGACAGTTGTCTTTGTTGCCTATAAAAACTGTAGCTGGAGGGCAATTCTTGTGTCTTCCTGTAGAGTATACCAAGATGTCGGATAATTTAGAGAGGTGTTTCCATCGGGCAATGATGAAGCATTTTCCCGGCGAAGATGGAGACACAGATGAAGAATTTTGGATCAGAGAGGATGAAAAGCGGGAGAAGAGACGGAGTCGGGCTGGGCGAAGTGGTGGAAGCCACATTTGCACCCGCTCCAGGGACTCCGAAGGGCCCAGCAGGAAACAGCAGCCTGTGGAGAATGGAGGAAAATCATTGCCACCTGCACACAGAGCTCCCTCCTCTGAGGCTGGTCAGAGCGGCAGCTCTACACAGCTCCCTCAGGAGGTGGGCACACCAAGTAACCAAGGCCTTCCTCGTCCCCTGCATTATGGTGGGATGCCCAACCAGGCACCCCTTTTAAGCCAGCTGGTAAGAAATAGAAATTCTGCTGAGGTTTCTCCTAGTTGGTGAATTCAGAGGAAAGTAAAGCCTTTTCAGTTGGCTCCTCTTCCGTGATAATTTTGCTGTATATGGATGCTTTTTTCTCCCCTCATCTGTCCTTCCTTTATTCTTCCTTTGTTTTAAATCCTGTCTCTTAATCATTTGAACCACACATTATATCAACATGGGGGGGAAATTGAATAAAAATATCTCAAGTCTTATTATGTATAAAGCACAGAGGTACAGCCCCAGCCCTGTACACCAAATAAAGGTCTTGGGTTCAATCCCCAGTCAGGGCACATACCTGGTAGGTTGTGAGTTTGATCCTTAGGGTATATACAGGAGGCAACCAATCAATGTTTCTCCCCATCCCTCTCCTTCTCTGAAATCAACAAATATATCCTCAGGTGAGGATTTACTTTAAAAAAAAAAAAAAAAAAAGCACAGCACAAAATACAATACATAGGGTATACAGCCTATCTTTGACATTAAAATTTCATTATGGGGAACAATTTGGGGGGGATATTAGCTAAAAAGGCTGTTGGCAGTGAGGGGGCAATAATGAAAAAGATAAACACAAGTTTGTCTCTCCTAGAGAGGGAAAGTGCTATGGGCTCTGGAGCTAGTCCTGCTCTGGGTGAGCCCATGTGCCACAATTCTTCCCTTCCTTGGTACTCTGTGCTGGGTCTATTATGTTCATCTTCTGGAAAGTCCTTATTTTCTTTCTAATGTTTATGCTTTCTTTCCCCACCCCCACTCCTTGCCTTTACTCAATACCCTCCAGAGGCCAGCAGTACCTGGAACATTTGGCCATCTTCGAGGGTCAGATCCTGCTAATGTATATGTCTCCTCGAGAGTCCCAGAACCACACCCTGGGGAGCCTGCGCAGCAGCATCCACCTTTTGCCTTGCAGGTAAGCAACCTGCTCATGACCTGGAGGTATAGAGTCTCCAAGGTAACTTTTAGAAATGCAGTGTCTAACCAGGTTAAATTTATTATCATCTCCTATTCTATAGAGTCTATAGATGAAGCACATTACAAGGGATGCCTGATTCTATGGGTCTGGTGAATGCCGCTATCTTCTCTTTTCTTGTTGCCAGCCTCCAGTTGGAATTAACAAGCATCGAGGACCCAGGCTGGGCATGCCCGAAGAGAAGCAAATGTGTGGGGGGTTGAGGCACCTTTCTAACATGGGATCACATCCTGGTTCCTTGCCTCTTGGGCAGATGAGTGGCCCCAGTCAGGATAGAAATATGTATCCCCCAACTCAATTCCAGCCAGGATTTATTCCTCCCAGGCCTGGGGGGATTCCAGCCCGACCCCCAGACTTTCCTGAAAGCTCAGAAATTCCTCCCAGCCACATGTACCGATCATACAAGTACCTGAATCGAGTATACCCTGCTGTCTGGAATGGGAACCACAGTACTACAAACCCAAGACCCTTAGGGCCAGATGAAAAGCCCCTCATGGGGCCAGGACCGTCCCACCTGCCTCACACTCTTGGTCACATGATGGATTCCCGAGTGACGAGACCACCTCTTCCTCCAAACCAGTGGACTGAACAATCAAGCTTTCTACCTCATGGCATTCCTTCTTCAGGGTACATGCGACCGCACTGTAAATCCGGTGGGCATCGGTTACAGCCACCTCTAGCACCCAGTCCCCTGTTTGGAGCACCCTCCCAGGTTCTGAGAGGGGTGCAAGGAGGGGACTCCATGATGGACAGCCCAGAGATGATCGCCATGCAGCAGCTTTCCTCACGTGTTTGCCTGCCCGGTGTGCCTTACCACCCCCGACAGCCTGCTCCCCCACATTTACCTGGCCCTTTTCCACAGGGAGCTCACTCAGCATCAGTTAGTGTGTCAGCCCCCAAGCCTGCCTTGGGGAACCCTGGGAGGACACAGGATAACAGTGAAATAGAAGAGCCTGAAAATGACCGAGGTAATTTAGTCACTTTTATCTGACTTCTGGCCCTATAAGCGGTTCATTCATGAATAATCCTTTTACACAATATCAAGCCAAATATAAACTGATTTTCAGCCTCTTTTTCTTGAACTACTCATGGTTGGGCCAATCGTGGTATTGTTTTTGATCCAAATATCCAAAAAGATTATTGGCAATAGTGATCACTACACAGATGACTGCCAGGCACTCTTTTTGAGGCTTTTAGATATATTACTCATTTCATTCTCAGAACAAGCCTTCCAGATAGCTACTATTATTAGTCTTGTTTTTACAGATGGAAAATCCAAGACACAAAGATAGTAGATGATTTGCTCTGATCTACCTAGTAAGTGGTGGAACTGAGACTCAAACTCAAACAGACTGGATCCAGCATCCACAGTTTTTTGTTGTTGTTGTTGTTGTTTAATGTATTTTTATTGATTTCAGAGAGGAAGGGAGAGGAAGAGATAGAAACATCAATGATGAAAGAAAATCATTGATTGGCTGCCCCTACTGGGGATCAAGCCCACAACCCAGGCATGTGCCCTCCCTGATCAGAATCGAACCCTGGACCCTTCAGTCCACAGGCTGACGCTCTATCCACTGAGCCAAACAAGCTAGGGCTGCATCCGCATTTTTAATCATGACATCAAACTGCCTTTAAAATTTCTTGTCCTGAAAGTTTATCATTATGAAATAAGTTTTCAATATTTTACTTAAAGTCTAATTATTTCTATCCTTTTATTCCCTGGACACATACCAATATCTACTGAGAATGAAGACTAGTGAGATTTCCCCTGGCCAGAGTGGCTTAGCTGGTTGAGTATGTCTCGTTCACCGAAAGGCCTTGTGGGGTTTGATACCCAGTCGGGGTATGTGAAGGAGGCAAACGATCAATGTTTCTCTCTCACATTGATGTTTCTCTCTCTGCCTCTCCCTTCCTCTCTCTTTAAAATCAATTTTTTAAAGTGTTTTTTTAATAAGGTATTTTCATTCATTCAATAAATATTGATTCCCGTTTTGTGCAAATATTGAGGGGTATGGTGGGGAACAAAATAAAGTCACTGTGGAGCTTATGCTCTAATAGGCCCAAGTTGGGGACTGGCCTCCTGTGAGCCATCATTCCCTGGTCTTTTCATTGTGTCAAGTTATAGAGCTTCCCAGCCTGGTCTACAATTCTAGTAACCATACCCTCCTGCCGTATTCCGCATGCATCTAGTTGGAGTCCATGAGCCATGAATCATCTCACACCGGTCCACTAAACTGTCGGTGACAACACAGGAAGAGGAAGGCAAGAACATCTCCATTATTTGGCAAACCTTTTGAGTAGCTGTAGAGTTGCTAGATCTTGCCTCCTGGTCTACGAAAGGGTCTTGCCTCCTGTGCAAGGGTCTCAACATTGTGACTCCTTTCAGGGATTCTCAAATTTTCTAGCTGAGGCTAAAATGACCGCACATCCACCTCAACCCTGACTCCCCTTATCTGGCTGCTTATCATGTTCTTTTCATTATTACCTCCATTGGTATTGTCATTTCAGCTATTGAATTGTTCTTTTGTTCTCCATTTTCTTACAGCAGATCCCTTACCTGAGCTTGAGAAGCCACCAAGCGTTGGTGCCTCAGAGGGGGTATACCTCAAACAACTACCTCACACTACACCGCCCTTACCGACCAACTGTACCAGGCAGAGTTCGCCACAAGAAAGGGAAGCAGAGGGCCCAGAGCTCAAAAATGACTCCTCAGCATCTGAAAACAACTGTCAGGCAACAAAGGGCAAAAATGCCTGGCCCTCGGAGAGTGGCTACATCAGCCCAGGAGCCCAGGGGTGTATGAGGGACCTCTCCACTCTGGCAAATAGAGGAGCTCTGCCTGAAAATGGAGTGGTGGTTGAAGTACCCACTTGTGGATCAGAAGGGAAGGGCCTTGGTGGTAGTGGTACAGAAAAGCCACTCTGCCCCAGAGGTAAAACATTGCAGGAAACCATTTCGTGTTCAGGACAGAACCCAGCTACACCTCCCAATGCAGACCCCAATTTGATGGAAAGCACTGTCAGTCAGTTTTCTCCCTTGTACATGCCTGGCCTGGAATACCCAAATTCAGCTACACATTATCACATCAGTTCAGGCCTACAAGGTCTTGGCCCTGTGATGGAAGGTAAACCTTCAGTATCACATCTTCAGCATTTTTCCCCGAGGGGCTTTCATTCTAACAGCCCTCATTCTGGAGTCTTTCCCCATTATCGCCCCCACCAAGGAATGAGATATTCCTACCAGCCACCACCTCAGCCTTCCTACCATCACTATCAGCGAACTCCTTATTACACATGTCCACAGGGCTTTTCTGATTGGCAGAGACACCTTCATCCCCCGGGAAGCCCAAGTGGGCTCCCACCTAGCCAGCCTCCCCCTCCAAGACCCCTCTTCTCAGATAAGAATGCCATGGTTAATCTACAAGGCTGTGAGACACTAAATGCTGCCTTAACTTCCCCAACCTGCATGGATGCAGTGGCTGCTAAGGTCGGTGCAACTGATGGGCAGAATCCTGGTCCAGAGGAAGAGAAGCCAGATGAATCAATGGAGAGGCCAGAGAGTCCCAAAGAATTTTTAGACCTGGACAACCATAATGCAGCTACCAAGCAACAGAGTTCGTTGTCAGCCAGCGAGTATCTTTATGGGACTCCGCCTTCACCTCTGAGTTCAGGGATGGGGTTTGGTTCATCTGCTTTCCCACCTCAGGGTGTGATGCTACAAACAAGGCCTTCCTATACACCTCACCAGCCGGCCAGTCATCTCCAGCCCAGGGCATATTCTTCCCCTGTGGCTGCTCACCCACCTCACCATCCAGTGGCTGCCCAGCCCAACGGCCTCTCTCAGGAGGGCCCCATCTACCACTGTCAGGAAGAGGGCCTGGGCCACTTTCAGACTATAATGATGGAACAAATAGACACTGGAAGTGGAATAAGGGGACCTTTTCAAGAAACATACAGACCATCAGGGTAAGACTGCATTTGATTTATTTTTTCCTTGAAAAAAAAGGAGTAGATGATAGTTTTTAAAAGAAAAATGGCCTTAGGAATAAAGATAAACTTTAGTGGTCTTCCGGGACCAAGAGGAGCATGTGAATCATTGATACGGACACTTAATGGAAATGTATTAGCCATGAAGTTTGATTTTTATCTTTGACATTTTTTCCCCCTCATGAAAATGAATTGGCATTTAAGTGACTGTTTAGTTACATTTTAATACTGGAAACATGATGGCCACATTTGTGAGCTGTAGGCAAGGGCTTTAGCGTTGTTTCTGAGTTCATATACTCTGACCAAGGCAAAATAGGTCCCTCAAACCCAGCAGGGCGGCAGGACATCATATTCAGGTTTTAATCCCCCTATCAGTTAAAGTTATGAGGCCTAATCATAAAACAAATATTATCCAACTTAAAAGCCTACAGTCTCCTCCCCAAAGCCAACCTAAGGAAACCTTACCTCCAAACCCTCTCCTGCACTTACGTTTTGTCATATTTGTTTTCTACCTCTCTAAATATGTTTGTTTTATTTATTTTTATTTTTATTTTTTTAAATATATTTTATTGATTTTCTACAGAGAGGAAGGGAGAGAGATAGAGAGTTAGAAACATCGATGAGAGAGAAACATCGATCAGCTGCCTCCTGCACATCTCCTACTGGGGATATGCCCGCAACCCAGGTACATGCCCTTGACCAGAATCGAACCTGGGACCCTTCAGTCCGCAGGCCGACACTCTATCCATTGAGCCAAACCGGTTTCGGCTGTTTTATTTTTTATTTTTTGCCTTTTTTCCTAAACCATCCTAAAGTAAATTTTAGACATCATGACCCTTTATCCCTAAATACTTCCACATGTGTATCCTAAAAATAAGGATCATTGTCCTGGACCACAATATCAAACTATTAATCACACGCAAGGAAAAGGATATTAATAGTATCTAACATAGAGTCCTAATTGCTCCAATTGTTCCCAAAATGTCTTTTATAGCTATGTTTCTTTGTTTTGATTTTTTTACATTCAAGATCTAATCAATGTTTATCTATTTACACTTGGTTATAATGTCTGTTTAGTCTCTTACAGCATTCACCCTATCATTGTGTTGTTTTCTTTTGTGTTCAGAGCCGTGGCCAGTTCTCATGTAGTGTCCCAAATTCTGAATTCTTACTGTTTGATTGTGTTTACAGTCCAGTTAAACACTAAATAAGTGGTCATGTACTTACCCTCATGAAAATGAATTTGCTAGAGGCACATAATGCTAGTTTTGTCCCAGTATTGATGATTTCCAGTTTAATTACCTGGATAATTAAGGCAGTAGCTGCCCGAGATTTTCATGATTAAAGAATCTTTTTTCCTTCAATTCTTAACTGTTCCTCTCTCATGGCTATAGAATGCAAATGCATCCAGTCCAGGCACAGTCCTCTTTCCCAAAGACCCCAGCACCAGCAACATTGCAGGAAGAGCTGCCACCACATAAGCCCCCAACACTCTCTCTTGATCAGGTAAGAGGCACCAAAAATTAGAGCTTTCTTTATTCCTGCAGGTGGTAGGAGAGAAGTACATAGTCCCAATCCGCGTTGGGAATCCACTGATGTGGAGAGCTGACTTAAGTTATACGTGGATTGGGTCGGCACCTCTAACCCCACATTTTTCATGACTTTCATTGCTGTTCTGAAAAAATATATATTTTAATGTGTCCTATTGATACAGGCACTTTTCCCAGAAAGTGCTGCAGGCTCTGTGCTCGAGGTTGACTCAGCAGTGGAAAGATCAAGAGAAGGCCTCTGGAAGTAGCTTCTCTACTTTTGCCACATGTTCCTTTTTCCTTAGGTAACCAGCTATTTGGAGATTATTTAAACTTTATTTTTCCAAACTGGCCACCGGCGTGTATTTTGATATATCCCTTGCCTATTTTATCCTTTCTACCTATTTGATTTTTGAGGGTCTAGGCCAGCCGTGGGCAAACTACGGCCCGCTGGCCGGATCCAGCCCGTTTGAAATGAATAAAACTAAAAAAAAAAAAAAAGACCGTACCCTTTTATGTAATGATGTTTACTTTGAATTTATATTAGTTCACACAAACACTCCATCCATGCTTTTGTTCCGGCCCTCCGGTCCAGTTTAAGAACCCATTGTGGCCCTCGAGTCAAAAAGTTTGCCCACCCCTGGTCTAGGCAATCAGGTTTTAAAATAATAGTAGCTACTTTTGAGTGCTGCTTCGGTACCTGGCACTGTGCTAAGAGCTTCTGCGTGCAGTCTTCTCTCAATAAGTCTCTCCCTCGGCCTCCACAAAGTAGGTGTCAGTCACAGCAGCATTGTCATTCCTGGTGTACACGACATCTATAGATACTGGTAGGGTTTGAGTGGGAGGTCCAGCACTTCCGAGCCGCCTCTGGAAGTAAAATGGATGGGGAAACAAAATCCAGCCATTTTCCCAGATTAGAGGAACAGGTCTTTGGCTTATTTAATTTTTTTTTTAACAATTAACACAAATGTGAATTTTGTTTAAAACATCCTTGTTTTGCTTTTCCCAGAGCTAGTCCAAGGAGGAAATAACCCCTAAGAAAACAGAAAGCTGCACATGAATACTGGAACATGGAGAATTTCGGGGAACACTCCTCGCCCATCTTTATTCCTGTCACCCTGCCGTGCCCCCTCACAGTGTACCACCTCATGCCATCCAGGAGCTGGAGCCATGCCCACAGCCCTAGAATCACTCTGCTCAAATAACTTAACACACAGCTTGCAAGAGTCCTGGTCAGACATCTCTTGCATGGCTGGTAGTCAAGAACAAATGAATTGTAGTTAGTGATGGCTTCCAGGTCCTGAGACTTGTTCAGGGAAAATCATCTAAAACTTGGGAGGGGCATACATAAGCATGGAATGGAGTGGTGCTTGTAAACTTTCATGAGCAGCTAAACTCAGGTATATATTTGGGGAAGGAACTACTCATGGTATTGTCTTTGGAGCTGGGTCCAGTTTACAGAATTTTCACGTTGCCTTTTAAAATAATTTTTGTTGGTGATGGTGAATGTATGTACATAAACTGGGAAGGTGGGTAGGAACCTGGAAAAAATGGAAGTCCTAACTGTAGTGGGCACACCACAGTGGAGTGATCCTTATCTGTTTACAATCACATCACACTGAATATTTGGGGAACTAGAGAAGAGGGTAGAAAAGAAACTCTTATAAGTCACTGTGTATTCCTCAGTGGCCAGCTGTCCTTTAAGAGTAAAGAGGCTTTCTTTCCAATCAGCCCAAGAGAGTTTTAGTCCACTGCCCCCTAACTGTTCAGTTTCTCAGTTCAGAGGCAGTCTCTCACGGCCTTCTAGAAGTTTCCGCCCAGAAGACAGCCTGCCCTCTTGTCTGGTGGCTCAGGTCTTAGACTGGGAGATCAGTGCCCTTCCTGGTTTGCCACCAGCTCTACCAGAGCTGTAAACCAATTTCTGGAATTGGTCCCCTGCTGGGACTGTGATCTGGAAGGCATCACACAAAGCTTTCTGGCACAAATCACATTTTGTGGAAGTGACTACTCAGGTTTGTATATGTTAGTATCAATAAAGAAATTGCACAGTTTTGAATAGGGAAAATGTATTCTATAGGTTTACAGTTGGAATTTAGGAATATTTCACTATATATAGTCCTTATTTTAAATGTAAAATAAGTCATGGTGGTTTAAAATAGCTATCAAGAACAAGTTTCGGGGAATCGTTTGTCGTATATGTTATAGGAAACAATTTTACAGTGTTAAATTACTTTATTACAGTTTTAGAAGTGAATTACACTGGATTCTCCCTGTTTAGCATTCTGTATTTGATTTTAGTTGAGATGCCACCAAAGTTAGGGCTTATATAAATATCCCACAAAGGAAGAACTAATGAAAATGCCCTGAAATTAATAGATTTTTTTTAAAGATTAGCATATTTTTAAGCATGCCTTTGGAATAGTGGAAAAGCTACCAAGGTATATTAATCTGTCCTATTTACTTATAAATTCATCTGTGTGAAGTGCCAATAGAACCTTTCACTCCAATATCCTGATGAAATGTGAAACTGTCATTTAAAGTTTTCTAAACATATGCTATCCTTAGGAAAAGAAACAGATTGGAAACATTTATGTTATACAAATGGGCCCCAAGACACAGCTCCAGTATAAGGGAAATTCATACACATAAAGGCATTCTTGTTGACCTGGCAGTGTGGCTCATGGCTCAGGCATGACTGAATTGAGTAGAGAACACAGGTGTCTGCCTCTAAGATACAATGGACAACAATATGAATTTTTCTCTAACAGGCTTTAATTTTAAATTTGATATGCTTTTAAGTGGAATGAGTTTGGAGGCTATGTTCTCATTCTATCCTAATTTTTGTTAGAAACATATTGTGGGCATAATCTGGTTTAGAGAAATGCAGAGGTCAACATTCTCTGCAAGAAGAGCAGATTAGAAGGTTTGTGGGCAGGTCTCCGCCAGCCCTTAAGCTAGTTAGTGTGGAAGGTAGCATGGTGGAAGTATTATTACTTCTGTTTCTGTGTATGTGCAAAAGCAGGAAGGAGAGGGAAAGACCAATTGGTCTGGCTAGACCTGGTCTTAGCCCAGAGCATTCTGTCACTGACAGCCTTTCTCTTTTTACATGAAAGCAGATTTGAGTGAGAGGCCTTTTCTCCTTCCTGAACTAGGAACACACTAACTGTAGGTACTCTTCCTTGATGCTAATGCTGTAGGGATTGTTTTGTGCTGAACTCCCTGGAGCATGGATAGGAGAAGAGTGGAAGCAATAGTTGGCTGATATGTACCCTTTCCTTCCGCCCTGGTTGCATTTGAGCAGCTGTGTACACACTGCTTAAGGTAATTGTAATCCTTTCTTCTCACTCCCAGCCCTTTATCTATCCCCTATTGTTAGAAGCTGTGAAGAGTATAGGGAAAAAATCAGTAAATTCTTTTATCCTTAATCTTCCTTCTTGCTAATGTAGAGAGGTGAGGAAATAATTAAGGCAAATGATAGGAAATTGAACTACTGTATTATCACACTGTGAAAAGGGGCAACAGAAACATGTCAGCCTTGCTGCATCCTGTGTGGAAATTTGGTTGTGCGTTACAGGTACTTCATCCCTGTCTGGTATATCCTGAGCTTTAACTGGCCTTTGAAGTGCAGATATTCTAGAAGCCATCAAGAGCTGTAGGATTATAGGAGTACCTATGATAAACTGCTATAGGCTGCTCATCCACACTTTCCCCTAGCAGGCTCTTTTTTTCTGACCTTTTCTTTCTCCTCTGGCACTCTTTCCAAGTGTCTTAAGCAGATGCATTTGCCATCTTCTCCATTAGGGAATGAATGGTGATCATGTAACATGCTATACTAGACAGTGGAGTGTAAGGAGATCCTAAGAAGTTCTGCTCTCGGGCTAGAAGGACTTACACACTGGATCACTGCAGCCTTGTCACGGTGCTGGTGCTCAGTAGTCCCTAAGGAGGTCAGCTGCACTCTGAAGGATGAGTCTCACACCTATTTGATTTTATATTAATGGCTAACCTTTATTGGAGTTGGTAATATTTCCCCAAGACCCAATAGAAATAAAACATCCAGAACGAAAAGGAGAGCCTTTTGAAAGATTTCTGGTTTGGATGTTTTTTCCCCCCTCAGAGTCTGTTCATTTAAAAAATTAGCTATTGGCTAAAATTTATTATGGTATGCATTTGGAGAATAAGGAAGGACAAAATATGCAGATTCTTGTTCATAGAATTTTTCCATCCCAATTTTTAAAAATAAAATGTGAAGTCACTCCATCTCTCCTTAGGTTGGTTAGTTCTTCTGATCGTTTATATGAGCTTATTAACAGTGAGCCCAACAGCTGCTCTCAAAAGGCAAACTTTTCCATGCTCATCTTCATTTTTTGTGGTAGTTTGTACCCTTTAGTCCAGTCAAACCTCAGCATGTGAGTGTCAACTTGCCCTAGCCTAGTCCTCAGACCTTGGAAGTGCTTGTCCTGACTAACCATTTGGTGTCTGTGGCACTTATCTGCTGTATCGTTATTTATACTAACTGTTACTGTCCAAAACACAAAATTTGTTGGTTGAACTTTTTTTTTTGCTTTTTTTTTTTTTAATGGACTTTCAAATCTAGAAATAATATACTGCTCTTAAGACCTGCTTTGAAACTTCACAGGAAGTCTTAATCCAGCAGTCCCAAAGCAAGGACAGTTACATAGCGTCAGAATCCTGACATTCTTTCAGAGAAACTATTGTTAAGGAAATGAAAGGCTTAAAGTTTTCTAGCATTATTGCCCCCCTTTGTGTCTGTCAGTCCATTTGCTCTCCCCTCCCCCCCACCGGATTCTGCATGGAGTCCAGTTTGTAAGAATGAGTGAAGGACTGTTCAACCCTGGGGCTTTCTGGGGTGCAGTATTCCTGCAGACAGCACTGTTCAACACTACAGTGAGAAGATAGTTGGAATTTTGGTTGAGCATGCAGGGGCTCACATCACTGTCTAGGAAGCAAGACTGTCTAGGAGGCTTTCTGTGTGAGAAGAACAGACCCCCTTTTTCTTTTTGGGTGGGTTGGAATCTACCATGCATCCTTAGGACACTGAGCCATGTCATCTCTCCTATGAATCTGTGCGCAAGCTTTGTCTGCAGGCTGAGTGTTTATCCCTCTCTGCTTTGTAGGACCTTTGCTAAACAGACTTTTGGAGAAGCTGTCTCCTGGCTAGTCTCTTTAATTCTGCACCAGGGATTTACTGAACCTTTATGTAGAGATGCCTGATAACCAACTAATTTTCCTGTGCATTGGGGTTGGAAACGGGTATGGATATTTAATAAGTTACTGAAAATGCTGAGCCCTGTTCAGACACTGTGGGACCCCCTTTCCATAGCTGGGATCAGGCACCTCACCCTCCTGCCTTGCACACAGCTCCTGGGAGCCCAGGCCAGTGTCCACTAGCCTGTGGCACACAGGGTCAGGGATTCTTTGTGCCTGCTGCAAAGGCTCTGAACTTTGCTGACCAATACTGGAAAGGGGAATGGTATTTATTTTTATATTGTGTATATTTTGTCGTGCTCTGCTGATTCCCTGTTTAAGAGCGACACTTACCTCAATAGTTAGTTCAATATTGTGTGTTGGATAATTTTTGGAAAGAACTTTTTAAAAAGCTTTTTCATCTTTGGAGGTCTGTAGATTTATTTCCATATGAACTGGTTATTTTGTATAAAGTACATTCTTAAAATAGCAAGTCTCTGATGTGTGTGAGTTGTGTGTGTCTGTGTGTCACTTTTATTATCAAGGCAAACTCCCATCAAAACAGAGGTTCATTCTAGGTCCCAAATGCCATTACCTCAAAAATGCCATCCCAGCCCTGGCTGGTGTGGTTCAGTGGTTATAGAGTGTCAGCCCTCGCACCAAGGGGTCACGGGTTCAATTTCCAGTCAAGGACACATACCTGGGTTGCAGGTTTGATCCACAGCCTGCAGTCAGGGCATGTGTGGGAGGCAACCAATCAATGTCTATATCTCTGTCTCCCCCCTTCCTGCCTCCCTCCCACTCTTTCTAAAAAATCAGTGGAAAAAATATCCTCCAGTGAAGATTAACAAAAAAGAAAATGTCATCCCAGCCCTGGCTGGTGTGGCTCATTTGGTTGGAGCATAGTCCTGTGCACCAAAGGGTCACAGATTCGTTTCCTGGTCAGGGCACCCTGGTTGTGGATTTGATTCTCAATCAGAGTGTGTATGGAAGGCAATTGGTTGATGTTTCTCACATCAGTCTTTCTCCCTCTCCCTTTCTCTCTCTGAAATCATTAAGAAATATCCTCAGGCCCAGCCAGCATGGCTCAGTGGTTAAGAGTCAGCCTATGAACCAGGAGGTCCCGGTTCAAGTCCTGGTCAGGGTACATGCCCAGGCTGTGGGCTCGATCCCCAGTGTAGGGCATGAAGGAAGCAGCTGATCAATGATTCTCTCTCATCATTGATCTCTCTCTCTCTCTCTCCTTCCCTTCTGCTCTGAAATCAATAAAAATAGTTTTTTTAAAAAGAAGAATAAGAACCTATCCTCCGGTAAGAATTTTTTTAAAAAGTCAGGCCAAGATGGCGGCGTAGGTAAATGCCAGTACTCCATCACCTCCCACAACCACGTCAGAATTACAACTGAAATACAGAAGAACCATCTTTCAGAACCACCTGAAATCTGATTGAATGGAAGTCCCACAACTAGAGAAGTAAAGGAGAAAGCATATTGAAACTGATAGGAGAGATGGGATGGGCTGGTCCAACACCCACATGTGGTTTTTCCCTTCCCCCTCATCAGGAGGGATATCTCGGCTGCAGAGGCCTCCCATGAGGAATAAAGGGTTCCAGTCCCACATCAGACCCCCAGCCCAAGTTTCCAGAGCTCGGAAGAGAAGTCTTTGTAAATAGGGGCTTTAAAAACCAATAGGAATTGTGGCTGTGTAACAAGGAGACTGCTGGAGACCCAGACAGTTCCTTTTAAAGGGCCAACATACAAACTTAGATGGACCCACTGCAGCAGCTTGGGGAAATACAGGGAAGAATTGGATTGTCTGGCATCAGGGCATGAATTTAGGGACAGCTTTCTCCCAGACAGGTGCTTTCAGGTGTCATTGTTCCTGTGCTGGCCACCTCCCCTCACAGAGCTGTCTGGCAACCATATCTGAGTTTCCATCAGCCTAGCTCACACATTCACTTGCCCTGGGGATTCCATGAGATCATCTCCCCATCTAACGAGTCCAAACTGCAGCTGCTTTTCCATATGAATGGCCTGTGCTGGCTTGGACTTAAGACTTTCCTAAAATCTCTCAAGCAGTAGCTAGTGTCAGTAAGATCTGACACTAGCAGCAGCCTGACTTCATAGCTTGTCCTCGCCTGGGCACTTCCAAGCCCAACACAGGTAGCAGCAATCTGCAGATCATTCTAGCTCTGGCCCGGTGGCCCCAGGCAGTGACTGACTGCACCTCCCAGGATGCCCCAAAGCCAGTGCACCTGGTGGACAGCTTCATACCATACCAACTTACAACTCTACACATCCACAAGCAACACACCAAAGGGGCAGACTCTGAGCACCAATGCCCCACTGAAGCAAGTCCTGCTCCATAGGGGTATTCCCTGCACAGCAACTCTTCCATTGTGGTTGCAGCAGGTCCTCACAGCCAAATGGCCTGGAGGTCAAATTCTCCCAGTGATGCCAACAGAAATCGAGGCTCAACTACAAGACTGTGCTACATAACCCACATAGAGGTGCATCTAGAATGCCATCTGAGGTGATTGGGGAGATCCACTGGGCCCTACAGGACACCTACTAAACAAGGCCATTCTACCAATTCCAGGAGACATAGCAGGTCTACCTAATACATAGAAACAAACACAGGGAAGCAATCAAAGTGCAGAGGCAAATAAACATTTCACAAATGAAAGAACAGCCTGGCCAGCCCAGTTGAGCATCCACCTATGAACCTGGAGGTCATGGTTTGATTCCTGGTCAGGGCACATGCCCAGGTTGTGGGCTCAATCCCCAGTAGGGGACATGCAGGAGGCAGCCAACCAATGATTTTCATTATTCATGTTTCTACTTCTCCCTCTCTCAAATCAAAATGTATGTGTGTGTGTGTGTGTGTGTATGTATGTATGTGCATGTGCATATATACACACACACTAGAGGCCTGGTGCACAAAATTTGTGTATGAGACGTGGTCTCTCAGCCCAGCGTGCACCCTCTCCTATCTGGGACCCCTTGGGGGATGTCCGACTGCCAGTTTAGGCCCGATCCTGCTGGCAGTCGAACATCCCTCTCACAACCTGGGACTACTGGCTCCTAACTGCTCACCTCCCTACCTGAATGATCACCCCTAACTGCTCCCCTGCCTGCCTGATGACCCCTAACCACCTCTGCCTTCCTGCCTGAGCGCCCCTAACTGCCTCTGCCTTCCTGCCTGGTCACCCCTAACTGCCCTCCCCTGCCAGCCTGGTCACCCCTAACCACCTCTGCCTCAGCCCCTGCCACCGTGGCTTTATCCAGAAAATGTCCGGTCTAATTAGCATATTACTCTTTTATTTGTGTGTGTGTGTGTGTGTGTGTGTGTGTATTTTAAGAAGAGAAGAAATCTCCAGTGGGGAAACTAAAAGAAATGGAAGAAAACTACTAGATACAAGAGTTCAAAACAATGATTATAAGGATGCTCAAGGATCTTACTGAGAGAGAACTTTAAGGGACTTAGTGAGACTTTCAAGGATCTTAGAATTTCAAATACATGAAAAAGGACCTGTCAGAAAATAAGCATACATTAACTGCAATAATAATTTACAGGGATTCAACAATAGAGGAGAGGATTCTGAGAAATCAACGATTTGGAATAAGAAGCAAAAAAACATGCAAGCAAAAAAGCAAAAAGAATCCAAAAATATTAAGATAGTGGGACAACTTCAAGCCTACCAACATTCACATTATGGGGGTGCCAGAAGGAGAAGAGAGAACAAGATATTGAAAACCTCTTTGAAGAAGTAATGATGGAAAGCTTCCCCTAACTCATAAAGAAGTACATTTACCAGTCCAGGAACTACAGAGAGTCCCAAACAAGAGCACCCCAAAGTGGCCCACACCAAGACACATCATAATTAAAATGCCAAAGCTTAAAGACAGAATCTTAAAAGCAGCAAGAGAAAAGCAATTAGTTACCTACAAGGGAGCACCCATATGAATGTCAGCTGATTTCTCAACAAAAATGTAGGCAAGAAATACTCAAAAGTAATGAAGGATCTACAACCAAGATTATTCTACCCAGCAAAGTTCTCATTTAGAATTGAAGGTCAGCCCAGCCAGCGTGGCTCAGTAGTTCAGCATTGACCTATGAACCAGGAGGTCAACAGTTCAGGACATATACCTGGGTTTCTGGCTCGGTCCCCATTGGGGGGTGTTCAGGAGGCAGCCAATCAATGATTCTGTCTCATCATTGATGTTTCTATCTACCTTTTCCCTTCCTTTGAAATCAATAAAAAAATATATTTTTAATTGAAGGTCAGATAATGATCTTCACATACAAGAAAAAGCTAAAGGAGTTCACCACCAAACCAGTATTACTTGAAATGTTGAAAGGTATTCTTTAAGAAAAAGGGGGTGGGGGGAGGGGAGGAAGAAGAAAGATAAAAAATATGAACAATAAAATGTCGAATACATATCAACAACTCAATCAAAAAATCAAAATAAATGAACAAGGAATCTAATGAACAAAATAAATGAATAAAATAGAACCAGAGATAAGGGAACATGGAATAGACCTGAATCTCAGAGGGAAGGGGAGAGGGAGAAGAGATCAACCAAAAAACATATGCATATGTGCATCACCTATGGTCACATTAGGGTGATGAAGGCAGGAACCAGGGGGAGGTGGGGGAAGAGGGGACATCTATAATACTCTCAGCCATAAAGATTTTCTTTTTAAGTCATCCCATCCTAGCCTCATTCAAGGTAGATGGTATCAGTTGGCATGGGAGCTGTGGACCCTGTGCAGTTAATAGTTCTGTGTGCTCCAGAGAACTTAAGAACAGTAATAAAACACTGGCAGTTCTACACAATATCATACATTAACCACCACCCCTCGCCCCCATACCACCCACACATTCCAAGCCCTTGATACATCATTTTAAACACACCTTAATGCACTAATTTTGATCTCCTTCCAAAATCCAGGGCCTGGTAAGTAAAGTTGATAATGGGGTAACAGTGGGCAGCTCTAGCCTGGAGACATCTGAATTACAAATGGCCAGAGTGGGAGCTACAAGTTAAGTAAGCAGGTACTTTTCTACTTACCCATTTTATTTATTTATTTTTATTTCCATGGGAGGGGTTTTAATTGGGGGAGGAAGAGAATAGCTATAGCCTTGAGACACCAAAATTCCTGGCCTTGTTTAGCCTTAAATAATTCACCTTGCACAATAGTTGCATTCAGTAAAAAGTCTATCATAGGCAATACCAATTTCTTAATCTATTGTTCACTCCTAGGGCAATGGTAGATCTTTCCATCTTGACTGCCAGTTGTTTGGTATCAAATTATTTCACATTATTTTTCAGATTTTCCTCCTGTTGTTATCTTTAAAACCGTGTTCCCATTTCATTCTCCCCTGAAAAACAGTCTATCTAATAAAAGACAGATGCAAATTGACCGTACCTTCACTACACCCACCAGCCAATCAGCAATATGCAAATTAACTGCCAACAAAGATGGCAGCTAATTTGCATACTGAAGGCTGGACGGGACAGCAGGAGCCGCCATACAGGCCCCCATGTGTGTGGCCCTGGGTGGCAGGGCTCAGGCAGGCGCGGTGATTGCGGGGGCCCTGCCCCATGTGTAGCCCGGCAGGGCGACACGTCAGCGAAGCAGGACTGGGGATTGGCGAATGGGTGCGAGGCAGACCTCCTGGCCCTTCCCCCCAGCCAGCAGGCTCCTATCAATCTTCAGTTTCTACTGAAAGGAATGTGGCACCTCCACTGCTCAGCCTCCCAGGACTCGGACTCACAGGCTCCGGAGTGGAGACTTCAACAAGGACTTTAGCGCCTGCTCAGGGGAAAAACCGCCACCTCCCTACTCCACAGCTGCTTCTGTGTCTGCAAGAAACTGCGCATGCTCCTCCCTGTGAGATGGGCGGGGCCTGAGCCTGAGTTGAGCAGTTCCACGATAGATAGCAATAGCAGCTGGACCAATGCAGGGGGGGAGGGCGGGGAAGGAGCAAGGAGGAAGCTCTGGTTCCCTGCTCCTCCTCCCACAGCCATGGCCCTTGCTGCTGTTATGATAAAAGGAGTTGTGCTTTTCTAACTGTCTAGGTAAAGGAAACAAGTGTCTGTTGACTTCTGATCTTACTCTCCGAGCTGCTAGTTAATCCCTCTGGATGTATCATATCCAACCTCCAAAGGATCCAAGGGGCAGGATCAACCTTCATTCCATAGTTGAGGAAACTGACCAATAAACACATGTGTCTCATGCCTCAGTGTCAACTCCCGCAGAAATCTCCAATAATGACTCAGATTCTATATCTAAGGGTATATTTTCTTCTGTTTTCATGTGTAATTCAGCCCCAGGAATCAAATAATACAATAAAGAATAAAATGAGTTCAGAGGGCTCAGCATTGTATTCCCAGGGCCTTTGGTCCCACACAAACTGCAGAGCTTAGTTATCCTGAGAGGAAAGGAAAGGAAAGAAACGTGAAAGGTTTCCCAACTCAGTCACAGAGCCATCTCATAACCACATATTAAGGACACGACATTAACTTAGGCGTGGAAAAGACACAAATGGAATAGAAGATGGAGCCATTTGGAGTAAGCAGGCCAGCAGGGGGGCAGTTAGGGGTGAGCAGGCCGGCAGGGGGGGTCGTTGTGGTGAACACACAGGTACAGGGGGCAGTTGGAGGTGATCAGGCTGGCAGGGAGGCATTTGGGGGCGAGTAGACTGGCGCTGGGGGGTAATTGGGGGCAAGCAGGCTGACAGGCAGGTGAGTGGTTAGGAGCCAGCAGTCCCAGATTGTGAGAGGGATGTCCGACTGCCAGTTTAGGCCCGATCCCTGTAAACTGGCAGTAGGACATCCTTCCAGGGGTCCCAGATTGGAGAGGGTGCAGGCCGGGTTGAGGGACACCCCCCTCCCCCCGAGTGCACAAATTTTTGTGCACCGGGCCACTAGTCCTATATAATAGAGGTAATATGCAAATTGACCATCACTCCAACACACAAGATGGCCAGCAGGGGAGGGCAGTGTGGGTGATCAGGGCAGTTGGGAAGGACCAGGCCTGCAGGGGAGGACAGTTTGGGGGGACAAGGCAGTTAGGGGTGACCAGGCTGACAGGGGAGGGCGGTTAGGGGTGACCAGACCAGCAGAGGAGGGCAGTTAGGGGCAACCAGGCTGGCAGGGGAGGGCAGTTAGGGGTGACTGGTCCAGTAGGGGAGGGTAGTTGGGGGTGACCAGGCTGGCAGGGGAGGGCAGTTAGGGGCAATCGGGCTGGCAAGGGATCACTTAGGTGTCAATCAGGCTGGCAGGGGAGTGATTAGGAGGTGATCAGGCTGGCAGGCAGAAGCGATTAGGGGCAATCAGGTAGGCAGGCGGATGAGCAGTTGGGAGCCAGCAGTCCTGGATTGTGAGAGGGATGTCCGACTGCCCGTTTAGGCCCAATCCCACTGGGCCTAAACGGGAAGTCGGACATCCCTCGAGGAGTCCCAGATTGGAGAGGGTGTAGGCTGGGCTGAGGGACACACACACACACTCCACCCTGTGCATGAATTTCATGCCCCGGGCCTCTAGTGTTTCCTATAAAATATTATGTCTATCTCATTTCCTAGTTTTATAGTTGTACTGCCATATAATTTTCAAAGCAAGAGAAAATTTAAAGTAAAAAATCATTAGTAAACCCCAGATTTGAAATGGGAATGGTCAGATTGTTTATCTCACTTGACTCTGTCCCTCTTTTCTCCCGATGGGGCAAGGTAGGTGGGGCACTGCTTTGGCCTGGCTTTCTTTGTTATGTTGACACTGGCATGGTCAGCATCAATTCTTCTCTCTGCATAATAGTATCACACCCTTAAAATTTATGTAAAGTTGCCGAAACCGGTTTGGCTCAGTGGATAGGGCGTCGGCCTGCGGACTGAAAGGTCCCAGGTTCGATTCCGGTCAAGGGCATGTACCTGGGTTGCGGGCACATCCCCAGTGGGAGATGTGCAGGAGGCAGCCTGATCGATGTTTCTCTCTCATCGATGTTTCTAACTCTCTATCCCTCTCCCTTCCTCTCTGTAAAAAATCAATAAAATATATTAAAAAAAAAAAAAAATTTATGTAAAGTTGATTTCTAACATGGGTTCCCAACTGAAACCTCTTCTGCAACATGAATTCCTTATCAAAAGCTAAATTTTGACAGTTTTAGCTAATAGTAGGGTTTGACTTTACTTTTAATAGGAATTTAGCTCTTGGCAGAGTGCCTGGGTATTGCCAGAAATATCTGCTCAGGACCAAAACAAAGTATTTTCCACTGGTCAACTGTTTCAAAACTTGGTACCATTTGGAAGCCAACCTTCATCCTGAAATCTTCCTAGATAGGTGAATGACCTATCTCATTAAACTGTTAGGCAAGAGTTGCCTTTGGAAGGAATGCCATTGGAGTGTCCAGTCTATTAATTGCCTTCACTGTCCCCTCCCTCACTGGGTTCTCTATAAATGGGTCAGCAGATGTTTTCCTGGCATCATGATTTTCCCGTGGGTGTTTTTAAAGGAGAACACCTGTGCATATATTGTAGTCCCCTCTCTGTTACCAAGGCTCAGTCTAAATTTAGCTAAAACCTTTAGTGTATAATGGACTCTGAAATGCTAGCCAAGAAGGCAGCTGGAAAATCCCCAGATTGAGTGGAATCATAAAATATTTATCCTTCTGTGACTGGCTTATTTCACTTAGCATAATGTTGTCAAGGTTTCTCCATGTTGTAGTGTGTATCAGAATATCCTTTTTTTAAAATATATTTTTTAAAATATATTTTTTATTGATTTCAGAAAGGAAGGGAGAGAGAGATAGAAACATCAATTATGAGAATCATTGAGTGGCTGCCTCCCACCCCCACAACCCCCACTAGCGATCAAGCCCACAGCCCAGGCATGTGTCCTGACCTGGAATCAAACTGTGACTTCCTGGTTCATGGGTCGATGAGTATCCTTAATCCTTGAGGCTGAATATACCTTTTATTTATCTTTTGATCAATCAATGAACATGTGGGTTGTTTCCCTCTTTGGGCTATCTTCAATAATGTTAATGAATATGGTGTACAAATGTCTGTGTAAGACCCTGCTTTCAGTTCTGGGTATATGCCCTAAAGTGGAGTTGCTGGATTGTAATGTAATCCTATTTTTAATTTTTTTTTTTTTTTTTTTTTTTAGGAACTGCCATGCCACTGTACCATTCATTCCAAAGTAGTACGTTCCCATCAACAATGCACAGTGTTCCAGTTTTTCCAAATCCTCAGCAGCATGTTTTCCGTTTTTTTTTAATTATGCCACCCTCGCTGGTGTGAGGTGATAGCATTCTAGCACCCTTTCTTGTACACATTGCTATTCCCTCTTTCGCAGCTGCCGCTTTAAAATCATGTCAACAGCCAAACTTGTCTTCCCTCCCCTCTCCTCATCCAATACCAATATCAGTGCTCCTGCTAATCCATGTCTCATCCCTGGTAATTGTCCTTGCATGTTCAACCAGCTGCCAGGCCCTATTGATTCTTCACAGAAATCATATCTCTTCCCTCCTGCACGCAGGTTCTCAGTTTTATGTCTTGCTTAGATTATTGTAATAACCCTGGCCTGTCCAAACCACTTTGCTGCCATAAACCTGAACTGTGCCCTCTAAGTCCCTACTCACCATCCCAGAGTAGCTTCCCATTGCCCAAAGGAAAGGGAGGGGGGAAAATTAGTGAACACCATTTATGTGCCAGGTACTGTACTAAGTGCTCTACATCTAAGTGTAAGTCTCATTTCACATATAAGGAAGCAGGCACAGAGAAGTAACTTGTTTAACGTTACAGATTGTAAGTGGTAAACGAATTCAAATCAGCTCAAAAGCAGTCTTACCCCAAAGCCTATGAGCCACTCTGCTCTCCAGCCTTGTCAATCTCCTTGTGATGTAGAAAAACACTAAATTAAGTAGCTTGCCTAAAGTAAGATCATTATTATTAACTTGGGAGCTGGAATTTGAACCTGGGTCTCTGACACCAAAGTTTCTCTCCCAAATCCTTGGCCAGGCAACAAGGTCCTGTACTATACAACATGGCTTGCCAGTTTTATTCTCCCTGTACTGCCTTATCCTTTGCCCCAAATTAGACAATTTGCCTCTAAAGAGAAGCTGGGTTTCAATTTCACCTCTCTAGCTTAGAGCTGAAATGCAGAGCTGTGCTCACAGCTCAGATGTAACATTCTACTTGCAGCACTCCCACTGCTGAGCACAGGCCCTTGAGAAATCCATGCCAAACAAACAAAAATTGTGTTCCTGAAGATAGGGCGCCTTGAAGCTACTGGAACTAGATGCCTCTATTGCGGGAGTCAGACGCCTACAATTAGAAAAGTGCGTGAGTCTGAGAAGCAGAGGTTAGCCTCTGGCACTAAATATCTGGCAGAGTGTTTGCATTGCATTGATTTTCCCATGTTTGTTCTCCTCCCTGACCTCCAGGTCTCTGAGTGGGTGGTGAGTCTCCCATCACCACCACCACCCCCTCAGGCCACACACACACACTGCCTTGAGCAATTCTCAGCCAGAATTTCTGTCCCAGTCATACCAGGAACCAAGTCAACAGCCACCTGGGAAGATAGGGCTGGCTAGACCTCTTTGGGGTTTCATTCAAACCCAACCTATTTGAAGGTGAAGGGCTGCTGTGGGTGTGAAGAGGCAGGGCCACAAATAAAACAAGGATTGTAAAGCAACCCTTCCCAGAACTCAGCAGTAACCTGGCCTATATCTTGGCATCCAGAAAAGTCAGAAGGTTCTTACTGAAAACAGGTAAGTTTTTGTGTTGTCTGACTGTATCAAGCTTAGAATTGGTAGGAAATTATCTTTTAGCAAATAAACAGTTGAGGAATAGGTCAGAGCAATCAGTGGGAAAGGGTCTTATCTCTCCTCTGCTGCTTTGAGTAGGAAGGTGGTAGGCAAGAGGAAGTGGCTCTCTAACTCGGGCATCTCAACCAACATCTAAGTCGGGAAGCAGGTATTTCCTGGCACTGCTCGTGTAAGGGACTCATCCCTGGAGAGCTCTCCTTGTTCTGCTTATTAGAGGAAGGGAGAGATGATGATCATTGGCCTTGCGTGCCTCCTCACAATGTGGAGAAATTATGACCGCTGAAGAGCAAGTCTGTCTCAGGATAAGACTGACTGCAAAGTTGGATGCAGTGTCACCCTCCAGTTCGCTGATTCAAACATTTGTATTGAATGCCTCTGTACTGGACTCCAGGATACAGTCCTGAGACTCTCCTCTTACATGACTTATCATTTTGATGGGGTACAGCCAGTTAGACAACATGGGAAGAGCTAAATCTAAGTGCTAAATGAGGGTCACAGGAAAGGACTCCTAGACAACATCTGAGGGACTTGAGAGGAAGCTAAAGTCCAAAGAACAATTTGTAATTCATCAGGTAGAGATGGGGAAAGAGTCAAGAGCACAGTATGTGCAAAGCTCAGATGCAAGAGACTGCCCTGTTCCCGGGAGTGAAAGTTCAGAGTGCCTGGCAGGGAGAGGAGGTGGAGGAGTGATTTGGGAGATGCAGCCAGCAGGAATGTAGGGGCCAGGCTAGGGTGAGGAGTTGGGAAACCATTCTAACTAAGGTTGGGGGGCGAGGGGGAGGGACGGGGGGGAGGGGCGGGGGGAGAAGGGGGCGGGCGGCGGGAGGTAGGGAAGGGATTGCAAACACTTAAGACAGGGAAGTGCTTAAATAGCAGGCTGAAAATGGAGCCCAGAGGTGCCCTTTTGCTCACTTGGCCTTGCTATAGAGAACAGATTTGAGGGGAGCCAGGCTGAAGGCAGAGAGCACACCATGAGGCAGTGGGTGATACCCATGGGACCTAGCATGGCTAGTGGCTATGAGAGGCTTAGGACAGTGTTTTTCTACTCATGATAAAGGACCTGCTTTTCTCCCAGTCCATTATGGATTGGGAGTTTTTGTTTTCAGTTTTTATATTTTTATGAAATATATGAAATCCATATATTTTTATGGATTTCAAGAGAGGAAGGGAGAGGAAGAGAGAGCGATAGAATCATTGATTAGCTGCCTCCTGCACACTCCCTACTGGGGATTAAGCCCACAACCCAGGCATGACATTCAACCATTGAGCCATGCTGGACAGACTGGACCAATATTGTTTTGTAAAATAAAATAAAAATAGATTACAGATAAATAGAATTTAAGAACAAAATTAAAGCCTACATTTTTATTAATAGGTTCTAAAATATTATATTACTCATGTTGCCATAAAATTTCCTAAACATTTACCTCAGTTCGGTTTCTGTACTTTTCACAGTCCAGCAATGAACCATATGCCCTTGAGAAGTACTGACTTTAGGAAGGATGAACTAGATGACTGACTAGTGGGGCAGCGGGGAGTAGAAAGGAGAAAGGGTAAGTCAATGATGATATACAGATTTGACCTGGATAACTGAATGGCTACTGTGCTGTTCTCAGAGCCAAGGAACCAGGAGGAGGAGCAGCAGGTCTGAAAGGGCAGATGTGAGTTGGAAGAGGGGAGGGTTGGATGTACTGTGCATGGCTGAACCAGTGGGTGGGAATGACCAGAGGCAGTTAAAATAAAGGTGTGGGGCTAGCAGGCAAACTGAACTGAACAGCCTTGGTAATCATGAGCAAGTAGATAATAACCAAAGCCCAGAAGAAGACAGGCTTGCTCTGCATGGGTGTGTGGAGGGAAAGGAATCGGGAACCTTGGCCAGGATTCTGTGGGCACCAGTGACCAAGTGACATCAGTCACAGGAGGCTGAGGAGCCACAGGACTCAAGGGGATAGAGTGCTTTATGGGAAGGGTGAAAAGTGGTGCTATCTGAGGTGAAAAACCTTGGCCTGCTCTGGTCCCTGTAGCTCACCACCTAGAACCATTTCTCTAAATAAATTTGTCTCTGAACAGCCTTGTTCAAAATATGGGCCTGGGAAGCAATGTGTTAAAAATTGCTTAACAGTTTTCTCTGCTTTCCAAATTTTATAATTTTTTTCTATTACTCTAAATACTTTAAGAAATAAAACAATGTTAATTATTAAGAAAAAAGAATGGACCATCAGCTAAGCGTCTGTTAACTAGCTATCTCCTAAGGAAGTGGACAGGGTAGGTCACAGAATAGTTTTGGTGTTGGTGGTATGGGCCCCTGGAAATCTGCTGTCTGTGAGGAGTTTGAGGGTAAGATGGCTGCGTAGTCACCATGTACAGGCTCTTTTTTCCTTTAAAAAGTTGTCATCCCCTCCACCCCCCTAGGGAAAAAAAAATAAAAACCTTCTGTCCCACCCAATCAGTGTGGCTCAATTGGTTGATCATCAACCCATGCACCAAGAAGTCATTGGATCCATTCCCGATCAGGGCACATGCTTGGCTTGCAGTCTCAATCCCCACTAGGGGATGTGCAGGAGGTAGCCAATCAATGTTTCTCTCTCATTGATGTTTCTATCTCTCCCTCTCCCGTCCTCTCTCTCTAAAATCAATAAAAACATTTTTTTTAAAAGTTATGTTCCAGCTAACCCTTGACTTTGCACCCACTCTACCACCCTAGTCCTTCTCTCTTCACTTCATTGGCCTTTCACCCAAAATTTACTTTTCTTAACCCATTCTTTCAGAATTATTGTCCTTATACTACATTCAACATGGCAGTATTCCTCTTAAAAGCATTCAGTGCGTTTTCTTTTTTTTCATATTAGAATGTTTATAAAACAAGGTCAACCTTTGAAGTTACCCTTTTTTTTTTTCCAAATCTTCTCTGGAAAAGAATGTGTTCTTCAGCTTAGACTTAGAACTTTATTATTTTTTTTTAATCTTTATTATTGAAAGTATTACATATGACCCCTTCTAAACCACCCGTATCCCCCACTCCAGGCTTTCACCATCCTATTGTCTGTGTCCATGGGTTATGCATATATGCATACAAGTTCTTTAGTTGATCTCTTCCCGACTATACATGCTCCTCCCCTTTCCCTCTGCAATTCTACAGTCTGTTCCATGCTTCTATGTCTCTGGATCTATTTTGCTCATCAGTTTATTTTGATCATTAGATTCCACATATGAGTGAGATCATGTGATACTTATCTTTCTCTGACCAGCTTATTTTGCTTAGCATAATACTCTTCAGACCCATCTGTGCTGGTGCAAATGTAAGAGTTCTTTCTTTTTTAGAGCTGTGTAGTATTCCATTGTGTAAATGTACTACACCTTTTTTATCCACTCATCTGCTGATGGGCCCTTGGGCTGTTTCTAAATCTTAGCTATGATAAATTGCACTGCTATGAACACAGGGGTGCATATATTCTTTCTGATTGGTGTTTCAGGATTCTTAGGACATATTCCTAGAAGTGGGATCACAGGGTCAAATGGAAGTTCCAGTTTTTATTTTTTGAGGAAACTCCATACTGTTTTCCACAATGGCTGCACCAGTTTGCATTCCACCAGCAGTGTACTAGGGTTCCCTTCTCTTCACATCCTCACCAACACCTGCCTATTTGTTAATTTGTGGAGGATAGCCATTCTGACAGGTATGTATGAAGTGATACCTCATACTTGTTTTAATTTGCATCTCTTGGATCACTAGTGACTTTGAGCATTTTTTCATATGTCTCTTAGCTTTCTGTAATACTCCAAAGTGGACATACAGAATCAATTTAGTACCTTTGCCCATTTTTTAATTGGATTGTTTATCTTCCTTTTGTTAAGTTGCATGAGTTCCGTATATATTTTGGAAATTAACCCCATATAGAATGAATCATTGGCAAATATGTTCTCCCATGCAGTAGGCTGTCTTTTCATTTTTTTTGGTGGTTTCTTTTGCTGTGCAGAAGCTCTTTATTTTGATGTAGTCCCACTTTCATATTTTCTCCTTAGTTTCCTTTGCCCTAGAGATGTATTGATAAACATATCACTATGAGAGACATCTGAGATTTTGGTGCCTATGGTTTCTTGTAGGATTTTTATTGTTAAACAACTTACATCTAAGTATTTTATACATTTTGAGGTTTTGTGTGTGTGTGTTGTAAGTTGGTGGTCTAGTTTCATTTTTTTTGCACGTATCAGTCCAATTTTCCCAACACCATTTATTGAAGTCTTTCTTTATTCCATTGAATGCTCTTGCCTCCTTTGTCAAATATTAATTGAGTATAATGGCTTGGGTCAATTTCTGGGTTCTCTATTCTGTTCCATTGATTTAGATGCCTGTTCTTGTGCCAGTACTGGGCTTTTAAAAATATATATATTTATTGATTTCATAGAGGAAGAGAGAGGGAGAGAGAGATTCAATGATGAGAGAGATGATTGACTGCCTCCTGCAAGCGCCACACTGGGGATTGAGCTCACAATCCAGGTGTGTGCCCTGACCGGGAATCGAATCGTGACCTGGTTCAACCACTGAGCAACGCTGGCCAGGCAGTACTAGGCTGTTTTGAGTACATTGCTTTGTAGTATAACTTGATATCTTGTATTGTGATTCGTACAACTTTGTTCTTCTTTCTCAAGATTGCTGTGGCTATTTGGGGTCTTTTGGTTTCATATAAATTTTTGGAGTGTTTGTTCTAAATCTGTGAAATATGCTGTTGGTATTTTAATAGGGATTGCATTGAATCTATGGATTGTTTTGGGTAGTGTATACATTTTAATGATGTTGATTCTTTTTTTTTTATATATATATTTTATTGATTTTTTACAGAGAGGAAGGGAGAGAGATAGAGAGCCAGAAACATCGATGAGAGAGAAACATCGATCAGCTGCCTCCTGCACATTCCCCACTGGGTATGTGCCCGCAACCAAGGTACATGCCCCTTGACCGGAATTGAACCTGGGATCCCTGAGTCCGCAGGCCGACGCTCCATCCACTGAGCCAAACCGGCTAGGGCAATGTTGATTCTAACACACTATTTCCTTCCACTTGTTTATATCTTCCTCTATCTCTTTTTTCAACATCCTGTAGTTTTCCAAGTACAGGTCTTTTACTTCCTTGGATAGGTTTATTCCTAAGTATCTTTTTTGTTGTTGTTGCAATGATAAAAAGGATTGTTTTTTATTTTCTCTGAGAGTTCATTATTGGTGTATAAAAATGCCATAGATTTCTGGGTGTTAATTTTGTATCCTGCTACATTGCCAAATTCATTTATTAAATCAAGTAGTTTTTTGGTGGAGTCTTTAGGATTTTCTATGTACAATATCATGTCACCTGTGAATAATAAGAATTTTACTTTCTCCTTTCCAATCTTGATGCCTTGTATTTTTTCTTCTTGTCTGATCACTATGGCTAGGACTCCCAGTACTATGTTGAACAAGAGTGGTGATAGTGGGCATCTCTGTCTTGTTCCTGCTCTTAGGGGAAATGGTTTTAGTTTTTGCCCATTTAGTATGATGTTGGCTGTAGGTTTGTCATGTATGGCTTTTATTATGTTGAGGTATAATCTCTCTATTCCCACTTTGCTGAGAGTTTTTATAAAAATTGGGTGTTGGGCCCTAACCAGTTTGGCTCAGTGGATAGAGCGTCGGCCTGCAGACTCAAGGGTCCCAGGTTCGATTCCGGTCAGCAGCATGTACCTTGGTTGTGGGCACATACCCAGTAGGGACTGTGCAGGAGGCAGCTGATCTGTTTCTCTCTCATCGATGTTTCTAACTCTCTATCCCTCTCCCTTCCCCTCTGTAAAAAATTCAATAAAAAATGTATTTATAAAAAAGGGAGTTGGATTTTTGTTATGGGTTGGCTCAACGAGATAGACCACCGACTCAGAATTTAAGTTTAAGAGCCTTTATTAAGCTGGCCAGCTGACCACAGCCCGCACCTTCCCCCTCTGGGAAGGTTTGCAGCATGTAGCAGAGACCAAGGGTGCAGTATGATCTTTTATAGCAAAACAGTGTTAAAAAAAATCAACTATAAAGCATTCCATTAAAAGTTCATAAAGAGTTCACAAGCACAAAAGGGGGGTAAACAGAGTCACACCTGGCTGGAGCATATCATAACATTGTTTTTCTAAGACAATCTAACAATTTTTCTTCTATGGTTCCTAACCCTGACACAATCCTCCATACGTCAGTCCCCCCTCCCAGCACATTCAATTTCGCATGTCCCGTTTCCTCCCCTTAGCACATTCTGTAACATTCTGTAACCCTTCCATGCCGCAGTCCCTCACCCTAGCACATTCCCTACTGGTCTTATGCCCGAATCAAATCTTTGCTTCAGTGCCCTCCTTTACGATATGAAATTGAGGAGGCATTTGGCAATGTAGGGTCGAGCCACCGGGGAAGAGTCCGGCATTTGATGGTGAAGAATTGGCTCGGCCGCTGACATAGAGTCTTAGTTCCCATGTCTTTCTCCTTCCCATTGGTCAGTTCACTAGGTGAGAGGCATGAGGAGGACGGGGTTACAATTTCCAGTGCCCCTTTC